ATATAATAATTATGTGAAAAAAATCTTAAAATTTAAAGAACCACTGGACTATGGTTAATTATATCAATATGCAAACTTCAGGTAGAGTAGATTCAAGTTTTTGGATTTTTTTTTCAATCATGGCCATAGAGGGTACTTGAAAGTTTTTCAAATTTTACTTTTAAATACATGTACATCATGTACATAGTACAAAGCTTTCAAATTCTAACTTCTCAAGAACAGCAGGGCCAAGATTATCCATATCAAATATGCAAGAACCCTTAGGTAATTTAGATTCAAGTTTTTTTTTTTCAAATCATGCAGGGGCTAGATTAAGGCCACAATAAGATTGAATTTTTACCTGGGAATACAGACATGTATAAAGGAAAAAAAATCTTTAAAAAGAAGTTCAGACTTGATTAGTGATATTTATTCTCAAGCATCCACAAGTAGTACAGATTTAAGTTTGATCAAATCACTGCCCAAGGGGTAGGGTGGGGTCACAATAGGAGATCAAAGTTTGATGTGGAAAGATGTAGGAAAAAAGTTCTTAAAATCTTCTCAAGAACAAAGTGACCATGATTAGTGAATTAAAGTAGTGACATCCATAGGTATTACATATTGAAGTTTGTTCACATTATGGCCCCCTGGGGTAGGATGGGACCACAATAGGGAATCCAAATATATATATATCCTGGGGTAAGATGGGTCTAAAATCGGAGATTAAAACTTGCATAATGTATGTATGGGAAAAAAATCTTTAATCATATCAAAGGACAAGATAGGGTAAGACCCCTTTTTGACCCCAGGTTTTGGGGGGTCTTTTATAATGATGCAACATTTTATCAATAAAAACCTGTTGTCACCACTGTCACAAAATGAGTATTGGTTTAAAGTTATGGGTTACAAAGAGGTCACAGGAGGGTCAGAAAATATGTCAATTTCTGAGTTTTCTCATTTTTATGCAAATTTTAATCAATTTTACAGCACATTTTCTTACTGAAAACATAGAGCACATGCTTGCCTATCTACCAAATTTATATTATATTTCATACACTAGTATCAGATGCATCTAGTGTATAAAAATCTCAGATGAGCAAGCTTGTGCTCTATGGTTTCTGAAGTGAAAAGTATCTCAAATTTGACGAAATTCCACCAGAATTGAGGAAATTTGGGAAAACTTCCTACTTCTCCACCCTCTTGTGGCCTCCGTGTAAGCTATGAATCAAAATTAGTGCTGGTTTTAAAACAAGCATCAATTTAAGTTCTTACTACAAACTGTCACAGTTTTAACTGTGTTCTGATTTTAACATCAAATAAGGGGCCAGATTCAGCGGTTACCATACCTTGTCCTTTGATGTTAAATATAAAAGTATTTATATATGGACTTATAATAAGGGTTTCCTTGAATATTACATGTAACTACAATAATTTAAAGCATAAAATGAATGTACTTGCATTGTAACCATCAAGATACTTGATATATACATACAATATACTAATTTCAGATAATAGCTGTTGAAACTACTTACTGTAATAATTGGTTTTATTTATCTGAGTGTATAAAATCAAAATAAAGGGAAAATATTAACCAAATTAACAGCTTAATTAACATTTTTGCCTAAGGCGAATTTTTGGAATGAATTATTTTCTGGTAGAAATGAACAAAATATTTCGATTCAAATTGACAGCAAAGCATCATTCCTTTGTAATGCCCTCGCAACGTACTCTGAAGCTCGCAGTGTTTGTACTTCTCATTTTCAATAAAAGTCAGTTTTTAAATTTAGACAATATCGGCTGTCAAAACCAAACTTTCAGATTGGTGCATAGGTGGATGATTAGATGCATGCTCTAATTGTACCCTTGCTTAATTATTAGGAAAAAACGGTGTGTCTATTACTTGGATTAATGACATTGATAGCAGAAGCACCCGAGGCGCCTTAATAAATCGCGCCCTGGGCACGCATGGTCTTGTAAACCTGTATTTCCGGGTCTAAAATTTGCTCGTTTTCACATGTGTCAAAATCATTTTAAATATTTTTAAAGAGGATACAGGCGCTTCATAAATCTGCACAATGTACACTGTAAGTATTAAAAACGATTTCTCTTAATTTTTTGTGTATATGCCTTTCTAACATATTTTCTATTTATCTATATATAATAATAAAAAAAATAAATGAAAAAAACTTCATTATAACCAATAAACAAACTAAAATTGAATAAATTCTAAATTTGATTAGGGACATGTATAATATGGTACATGTATCTAAACCTGTATGATTTCTCAAGCTATGTTATTAAGTTGTGATATATGTATATTAGCACAGAGGTTTTTACTTTACGTTATGCACATACATGTAAAATGGCGGAAAATCGCAGGTGTGCGTACAATCAGTCATTTTGCTGCATGTAATGAATGAAGAAAAACATTGATTATCATTAAACGTGTTCTCCCTTGAATTCGAAAAATTAAAAATACCGAAATGAAATTTGTGCTGCAAAAAAGCGCAGAGAGTAACATATTCTTCTTGTTGCTCATTCTCACAACTTCAGGGGGTCCAAAGTCAACACGTTGCTGTTCGCCAGCAATGTGTTGACTCAGGACCCCTGACTTTGAGAAGATGCTCTTGCTTAGCTGGACAATGTTACTTATTCGCTACGCTTCAGTGATATTTTTTATAATAATAAGATTGATTTTGTTTTCATATAGTTACATGTGGTCTTTAATCTGGGAAAAAATGTAACCCTGTCTTGGTGTAAATGAGCGTTGTTAAAGTACAGTGTATCCCTTAGGCTTACATGTAATCTGTTATTATTGAGTAGCAAATGTTAATGTGGTCAGTCTAGGATGGAATTTTAGTCAGGGCAGTGTGTGCAGGAATTGTGTGTATATATATACATGTACATGTGTCAAAATCGTTTAGCTGTTGTACATGGTAAGTGGACGCAGATAATTATCAGTATTTGTGAAAGAAAATGAATACTTTTAAAAGTCGTTAAAATTCGTTGTTATATGTGTTGATCAAAATCAAAGCCTCAGTCTACCTGTAGATATTTAATAGCGGCACGTTCAAAATAGCTGTGAATAAAAAAAGATGCAAATTGGACAAAAATACAGACTGTGCTTCAATTGCTAATTATATGTATAGAATAAGTGCCTGTAGAGAATGCCGCATTTCGTTCTCTACTTTTAATTAAAAAAAAGATGACCTTATGTTGAACCATTTGCGTCTACACGTATACATTAAAATCTGGTACAAAGGTAGTGAGAGAACGTCTTAATATATAGAACTCTCCAATGTCAGCTACAAATTCCAGTTAAGGTGGCTTCCAATCTGACATTTTCTTGGTTAATGTAATTGTTTTCTCTCTTGGAATCGTTAGAATAACATCTTAGATAATTAAAAATTCTGAAAAAATATATGTCTTGACTGTTTACTTTTCTTACCAGAATCTTCGGAAGTCGCACTGCTATAAGCAAACCGTTATAATCAAAATCAATAGGTTACTGTTTATAGCAAAATAACTCATAGATCTATTTATTTATCAGATAATTACCTGTTATAAATTCATCACCGAATTTTTATGCCCCTCGCTTGAAAAGCAGGGGGGGGGGGGGGCTTCCATCCTAACACTCGGGGTACCCATCTCTTATCCACAACTCCTCCTATTCCAATGAATAAAATTTAATGAGACTTTCTCACATGTAGAATCTTTATTACATAATGCCATTGTTTCTGTTTTTCATTTTAATCAGAAAGATATTTGGAGTTTCCCATAGTAAAACTTGGACACTGCCTAATATTCTATCATAATGATCGTTATATACACGTTTTTTTCAATCAAGTATTACAATTTATGACATCATTTGGGTACGGTTTTGGTTTTTGGTACATGTAAGTTTCTCGTTTGTCTTGAAAGAAGTTTGTACGTACATGTAGTCATGTAAGCCGACCCTAGTATAGGCTGAAAATTATTTATTATATACATGTACTTGTATATAATTATGATTATGGTATTAGTTAAGGTAGGTAAATACTATCAGAATTTTCTGTCAAACAATTTATTTTTTCATTTAAATATCTTAAACAACTCTTGAGCCAACAAAAAAACCCATATTACACATACCTTTGCACGCTTATTTTCATACTATGTGCTATAGAGCACATATACCCCCAACTTCAACAGCCAAATTCTAACACAAGGATGTATAATTTCATATTTTATTCAAATATGCACCAAAGCACACTGTATTGTGCTATAATTCATTAAATCTAATAGATAATTAACTACAAAGAGAATTTTTCGAGATATTCAATTGAAAACATGCACATTTAACATTTATACTGCTCAAATCCATCAGAAAAAAAATCACAAAATATCATTATTTTCAAAAGTCCCAAAATTTATATTGTTAACATGCCATTTTTTCTTTAAAAATATCTAAAATTATATCTAAGGTTAACAAAAAAACATATTTTATCACAGTAGACCAGAGATATTTTATTAAATCATATCTCGAATACCCCTACCCCCACTTTGGTAATAGCATGTTTTACAGTTATATTTTACACACTGTGAAAAATATCAAAATGTAACAAACAAATACAGTCTTAGAATGAAATACAAATGGAATATTAAAAAATACTGAAATTTTGGTCCTTCTAGACACTTAGAACATAAGGGGTAGGGTGGTGGGGGGGGGCAACCCCTTCCTTTTTTCACAATTTTTTTTTTACATATGTCACCGGGTTCACAGGTGTGTGAAAGTCAGTCAATATATCGGGTCTCAATAGCTCAGTGGTTAGAGCGCTGGCACGGTACGCCAGAGGCCCTGGGTTCGAGTCCCGGTTGAGACTTGATTTTTCACCACCTGTGACACATACAAGTACACATTCTTAACAATTTATAATCTAATACATATAAAGAGAATAAATGTAGTGTAACAAACATACATGTAGATTCTAGCAAGTATAGCTCATAAACAAATAATTTTGTTGAATGAAAATACTTATGATGAACTAACAAGAGTTCAAATACTCCACAACTTTGCCAGTGATCTTCTGAGACTTCGTAATTCTTGGTGTCTTTGAACCAGACACAACCTCACTAAAGACAGTCTGAATCCCACAATGGGGGTCACGCTTATGTATGAGTTTTAGCTTGTTTAAGCTTAGATTGTTAGCTGTAAGCCTTTTAGAGATCAGTGTAGAAATTACTTTGCTTTGTATCAATGGAACTAGTGAGGACTTGACATTATAATAATTCATATTAAATATATCTAAAGATTCACATTTGAATGCTAAATTTGACTCGTACAATTCTCGTAAACTACAAACATCAGCTAGAGCATTGTGTGCATCGTAACTTTTCCCTAAACACAATCTGACCAATGTTTCTTGTTTAAAATTTCCCATTGTTTTCTTGTCAAACACTTTCTGTGCAAGTTTGTATGTATCCAAAAAACCTAAAACATTTTCATCAAATCGTTTAAGTAGCCCATGTCGCTGCAAGTGATATTGAAGAATTGGAAGATCAAAGTTTTGAATATTATGGCCCACAATGACTGGTTTTGAAGCACAATCTGTTGTAAAGTCTACAAACTGGGTCAAACCACTGACTTGATCTGTTGAAGGCACAGGCTCTCCATAAAGAGTGAGCTGTCCCATGTCATATCTGAGACCCGTTGCAGCCGATGCTTCTTTACAGATTGGTACACTGGGGTTGAGATAAACATTGATTGACCTATCTTCACAAACTGCAGCAATCTGTATGATGTCAGATGTTCTACCTGAAAGCAAAATAATTTATTATATTTTATACCAAACTCGAAAATAAAAGAATATTTATATTTGTTAGTAGGGAAAAGGTAAACTAAAAAAAAATCTTACTAAGTCCAGTAGTTTCTAAATCAAAATACATCAAGCAGCTGCTCTCTGGAGAAATCCTAAGAGGCTCTGGATCAATGTCATCAAGATCAACATCCTCCTCAAGACCAATATCTGACTTATATGATTGACCTGTTACAAACAAAATTCAAGTAAATAATACTGAAATTCCACTAGCAATGGCTTCTCTAAAGGTGTGAAAAATACACAATAAATCAAAGTAAAACATTACATTCAATTCTGTTTTAACTGAAGCACTACCTTCTAGTACATTCCTCGCTGCTTCTTTAGACAACCTGGCAGCTTTAATTCCAATCGACGTTTCTTTGTGGTGGGTAAACTCTGCATCAGACGCTTCCGTTTGAGCTTGTTGGCAAGTCTAATGGTATGTTTCATTGTGAAATTGCCTGGTGACAATGCCATTTTCTTGTTCAACTGTAAAATATAATTCATGTTTCAGTAAATTTTTAATTTTGTGAGTGTTCCATATTCAAATCAAATGGTTAATAAGAACAGGGATTATAGTTTTGAATGTGAATTTCTTAGTAAATCCATATCTTTATGTACTTTATGTACATGTTTATTTAGATAAACATGATTGTAAACATCTTTTTTAAAAGCTACATGTATTTATAGTTTATAATATTTATTGTGGAAAACCATTAAAATCAAAATAAACTTCTAGGACACTAAACACATGTGAACATAACTTTCTTAGGTTTGCGATAAAAAAGAAAGAAAACAAAACATAACAAACAATAAATGTAGAGAAAAACAAATTTAAAAATGATCAACTTGAAACTTTTAACACATTTTTCTACCTCTGATATGTAACCATAACCCATATTCTTTTGACATACAGTGGCTGAGAGTCTAGCATGTAGACTTTCTGAACCTCCATAAAACCTAACAACACATTTTTTGCAATTTGAATCTCATATTTCAGACTCAATTTAAAAGATTATACCTAGAATTTTTGTTTTAAACAAAGAGAAATAAACCAAAGTACTTACAATCTTTTGGGGGCTTTAGTGGAGACCATATGGTTGAAATTCTCATTGACTTGGGTGGACCCCATCATGGCTAGCTCTTCTGCCTTACAGCAATACTTTTTGAATAGACCTTCTAAAGCTTCTCGAAGTAAGGTGCAGGAGAGAGGCTTTCCATACGGCAAATTTCGTGGTTTATAGTCAGTCTTTTTACTCTGGCACCAAGTTCCACAGTATTCGTGTTCACCTTCAAAAAAAAAAGTAGTTAAAATATTTTCACTCTTCATTCCTAATTTTGTAATGACTTTTTTATTGATACACTTACCATATAAATGTGGAACAATTTTGCCAAGTTCAATTTCAAGCTCTTTAGCCTTGCCCCTGTTTTGCTGTACACAATATGTAAAACATCTAAAACAAAGAAGGAAAAGATACTTATTTTATAATTAGCTATCGCACTTACAATTAACAAGGTTTTTGTTGGACCACAGTTGATCAAGGGATATTTTACTGAAATATTACACTTCAAAAACACAAACCTTTCAATGTGACCTCTAAGTTTTTGATTTTTCAAAACTTTGTGAGTATTGGCAAGCTCAATCAAAGCTCCTGTGAAACCTTTTTTTGTGTGGTTTTTGTCAGCTCTTTTGTTAATGGTTGGGTCCACAGTGGCTTTTACATGGGCAATAGTTGTTGAGTCATTGTCCATGACTAAAGTTCCTATCTGTAAAATACATTGGAAACATGTACTTTAATTAAAACAGCAAAGTTTTAATATATAATGTAGTCAACTTTACAGACATATTTGGCATTGCTCTAATAAGAATCAAACATTCAATGAAAAGTTACCTTGCACCCTTCATCTTGGATTGCACTCAGCATTTCACAGGCCATGGCTGGCTCCATTGCCTTTGCCGATCCATGCCAATTCCTTCGGCAGTTGTGTTTTCTGGGTGGAACTCCTTTACCTGATGCAGCTGAGCAGATTCTGCATTTTTTACTCTTCGAAGAGAAACTTACTATCTTTTTAGTTTTTTCTCCTACTAGAGATGCATGACCTGTAACAAGATAAATACTGCTAGTACATAACTACATGTATGTGTATTAAAATATGTTACTCTATAAGAAATCTCAATCCTTCTTGAGGAGGGAGAATCAAAACATGTAACATTATCACCAGGGCATACCAGTAAGACTATTGTATCCTCTACCAGTACCTCTCTTCTGCCAGGCACCATCAAAAGACACAGTGATGTCTCCATCACTCCTACAAAGTAATTAACACAAATGTGCAAATATTAACAAATGACATGTAAATACAAAGCAAAATTTAAATATCAATATTTGGTATATAAAATTACAGTTTCATTTCTTCTTGAAGAACTTTATTACAACTCTGCCCTGCCATTTCCTCTAGGTGTTCCCCAACCTCTCTTTCTCTGCTTTTTAGACTCCTGTTTGTGATCCCTGGGATATTCAGTGCAGCCAGTAATGCATTTACATGAGTTATTCCATAACCACCATTTAGCATACCTAAGATATCACAGAAATAAAATGAAAACAAAATAGTTCTTTCAGATGTAAACTTTTGTATAACTGGAAATAATTTATTTCTTATCTGCTTATTTACAAAATAAAATTTTTGATTTATACCTGCAGCAAGTTTTGTGTTGACATCCCAAGCATATTGCTTCATATCTGCTTTAACCCTATGCTTACTGCCCGTGGGTATGTCATTAACATGGGCACAGGTGGAATGTGTGCATTTTATCTGAAGAACCTGCATTTGGTCAAAAATTAATGTAAAGGGTATATACAACATCTTTAAAAACAAATCTTTGAAATACAAAGTCATTGACAATATTATAAAAAATAATAAATACCTGCCCTAGTCCAAATTTCCTTTCACCTATAGTGTTAACAAGCTGAAGTGCATTCCCACACATGGCGCAACCTCTTTTCAGATTATCTACAAGAGTGCCAAGTTCAACAATTCGTCTTCCAACACGCCATGAACTTTCTGCACTTTGACACTCAACACTTCGTAGAACAGGGGAAGAATCATTCTCCAAGCATAGGCCATCATTTTCAACATCTAATATTTACACAATAAATGATTGAATCTTTTGCTACATATTCCAACAGTCCATAGCAGAACGCTTACACAATAATTATTAATACAGACACTTACCCTGTTTACCTTTTAACGCACGGGCTTCTCTTGCTCTCCTTAGACCCTCAAGTCTCCGGAGGAACGAAGCTTTCACGAACGTTCCTTTTTTAGACCGGGGCATTCTTGTATTTTTATATAATCACACGAAATTTATGATAAATGGCCAGACTGAATGTTTTGCGCCAAAGCCGAGTCATAACCGGAAGTCTAGAGTCGGTGTATAAAATTTAAAACCGGAAGCGAAAAACTATGGCCTTTCCTTAAGTATTAAGTGCTGCATACATGTAGGAACCGGAAGTTGTCAGATTGTCCCTACATGTGAAGGAGGTTTTAATAAAATCCCTATTCATATTACTTCCATATCTGTTCAGATTTCATACATGATTTAATTCATTTTTTTTTTAATTTTCAGAAAATGAACATATCTCCACGAGTTCTCAAATTAACATTGGCCTGTGTCGTAGGCATGGTTACCATCGTCATGGTCAACAATTGGTACCGCTCAAAAAACATTATAATTCAGAACAATGCATTAACAGGCCAACAAATATCGCCGAATAAGAAACAATCTGGAAACGTTCAACCTCCGCTTGCATTCTTGGATAGTAACAATGTTCCACAACAGAAGAAGAATATCTACAATCCACCCCCGCCTAAAATCGAAATAAAAAGGAAACCAACAAAATGTGGCGAAACTGACGATGACTTTCGATATTCTGGATTGGAGACCGTCAAACCTTTGACTGAAAGAGTGTCAGAAAAATTTCGAAGCAAGGAAGCATCTTGTACACAAAAGAATTTTCCGAAACCAAACGATAAGCTGACTCCCGAAGAAACGAGACGAAAAACTGAATGCGTAAAAAACTGGGTTAGGGATCACAGACAGGGAAGTGGTTCGTTCTGGACGGGGACTGTTCAGTATGTTCGTCACTCACACCACACCTACCTAAATGAGGATAGCACCGTTTTTGACATCGGCGGAAATAAAGGCGAAGATGCAGAGGCCATGATAAAAAGATATCATCCCGGAACTTACGTCATACTTGAGCCGATCAAAACCCTGTTCTCTAATCTGGTTAAGATGTTTAAAAGCAACGATAAAGTCACATTATATAACTTTGGTCTAGCAAAGAAAGATGACAAGTTCTACGTTAATGTCTTGGGCCATGGAGGAGATGCAACATCCATTTTTGCCGGAAATGACAATGGCGGGAGTTGTTTGTTACGTGTCGTAAATACAACTCAGTTTCTCTTACAGGTCGGGGTTCCTTGTTACGAAGTGGACCTGATAACGGTCAATTGTGAAGGGTGTGAATTTGAAATAATGGAGGAACTTATAGCAAGTGGAATGGTTGGTCAGTTTAGACATGTACAATTTGCTACACACCCTACTTTGAAACATCTGAAAAATGCCCCAGAAAGATACTGTGAAATTCAAGAAAAACTTAAAAGGACTCATAAAGTCTCGTATCAGTATAAATGGTGCTGGGAAAGTTGGACACGGAAGGACGTTGTGTACATGTAGTTATTGGAAGAGAAAGTGTCATAGACGGATTTAGAAAATTAGTTATAATGTTTATCAATGAGTTACATGTATAAATTAAAATGACTTTTAAGGTCTATTTTTTTATTCATCTTACTGTCAACCTGAAGCATTTGTTATCCGTCCGTTTGCGGTTGGTTTTCTACAATGCAGTGATGAAGCAAACTAATGCATCATTTCAGTCATGCATTTTTGGATAAATGTTACGCAAATGTGCAGTATGCAAATGATTTCATGATTTACAAATTGTACGTCACATAAATGTACACAGTGTAAATGGTCCTGCCCGGTCTCAAATAGAACTCATTTTACTTTGTTAGTCCCAAATATCTTCAGATTACGTGAATGTTGGAAGAATGCAACAATTTTATGTTACATATGTATGCATGTATACGTATGAGTGCATTGGTGCCGCAATGAAACTTTTTTTTTTTTTGGCACTCATCTGTAAGCGGCCGTGTAAAGTGTAAAGTAATGCTCGGTTAAACCTTGGAGGCAACTTTCAAAGCTACCATACTCATTCCATTTTTTTTTTTAAATGCTAATGCATGTTTGTGTATGTACATATGTACACGTACGTACTTGAAGTTAAAGCAAATTTACTTTGAAATAAATGTACTTTTGTTATGATTATATAAATAAAGCATGTAAATTTCTTGTATACAATGTTTATTTGTAAGTTTATACATAGGATATTATTTAATTTAAAAGGTGAGAAAATATAAGCTCTTTAGCGGTACCTTGGATTCTTATTTTAATTCTTCTTGTAATATATCTATATGTGCTATGAGAGATATTTTAAAATAACGGAGTATGTTTCCTTTGTATTTTTTTTTTAAATTTTCAACAAAGGAATTCGCCCTGAACCCATCTGCTAAATTTGCCCGAATTTAATCTCCATCCCCCTAAGGAAGAACCCATAATTACCACAATAACAAAAATCCATTTAACCGAGTTAAGATTCCTTCTCCGTTGAATTTCACAGCAAACTTTTTTTTTATTTTTAAATAAAGAGGTGCGATGAAGCCTATCACTTTACTCTGTCGACAAGAACCTCATAATTGGAAGTCACTTAAACGAGGACCAAGTCTTTTGTCAGGACGATACATTGCCATCAGGCTGCAGGCTGACATATTCATTAAATACAAAATTCTTAGTTTTAACTAGGTAGATTGATAAAGGAAAGTGAGTATCTACATAAGATCCAAGGCCACCTTTAAAAAAAATGTTTGATCGCCCTTTTACGATCAACTGACTAAAAACATTTCGACTCAAAACATTTTTGACCTCCAGGAAACAATTTTTATTTATTCATTTCAGTTTTTTCATCCCATTAATAACTATTTTAACCTCATATTTTGCAGGGTTTTTTTTAATTTGCCCCTACCTACCTACCCATTTTTTTTATCTTGAATCGGGAGAGGACAATCAAACATTTTTTTTAAAAGATGGCCCAAGATATGATTAAGTCATTTTTTTCTCAAATCAATCTTTACCATAAAGCGCACACATGACCTTAATTTGGTTGTCTTACCCTTGGCCTTACTTTTGCGCTGCTTTTCGACAAAAAAGATGGCTTCTTCCCCCTCAGTTATGGCCCCTGTATCGTGTTGAGTATTTTGAATTTACTAGGTGGAGGTCAATGCAAAATTTACAACATGAAAACTATTATGTTGTAAATTTTACATTTACCTCCTCCTGGTGAATTCAGAATTCAAAACATGATATCTGTCCATCTTTGAATGACCTTACAACAGCTGATATGTATGACTGTGTTTCAACTTTAAAGATAGACCGTGACTCAGCGACAGTCCTGACACGCCTTGATGTTTACGACAGGACACGCCATGATGTTTACAATAGGACACACCATGATGTTTATGGCAAGACAAACCATATGATGTTTACGACGGGACAGACCGTAATACATGTATTTACAACAGGATACACCATGATGTTTACGACAGGACACCCATGATGTTTACGACAGAACACACCAGTTTGTTTGGACAGGACAAACCGTGATGTTAACGACAGGACTCATCATGATGTTTGCGACATGACAAACCGCAATTTTAACGACAGGAAACATCATGCTGTATGCGATAGGACACACGTCATGATGTATGCGACAGGACACCATGTGATGTTCACGACAGGACCGTAATGTTTAAGACAGGACACACCACGAAGTTTACTCTCATGTGAAGCCATTCTGATCATGGATTGATTGAACAGCCGATTTAATCATATAATTGACCTTGGCCTCAAAGATGTGACTTTGACCGAAGATTATGGCCTCTCTTAATAAGATAATGGGCAACAACATACTATGATGCAATCCAGGATTCGACAATTTTTCACCATACTGAATATATTCTCATTGCCCAGTGACCTTGACGTTTGATACATGACCTAAGGTCAAGGTGGTGATACATGTACGCCTTGAGGACATAAAGTGCATGTTGACAACTATCTTTTTTTAAAGTAGTATTTTTGGTTGCTTTAAAAAAAAGGGAGGGGGTCGTCCAAAAAACAAACCACTGTTTAAAAGTCTTATTACATGTATTAACATTTTAATTATGGGAGTGGATCCAATTTTTTTTCACTTTCAACAAAATTTGCTGTATTTTGTAAGCAAATGATCATTATCATTACCAAAAGAAATTGTAGAAGAGAATACTTAACTCATCCATGAGACAATCGCCTTAAAACTTATTTATTCGGTACTATACCGCTTATCTGTATACTTTGTGATCTACAATGTATCATTCCTTTGGTACTTTTGGAGTTTGTCAATTGAACCGTCGTACATGTGAGCATTCAACTATTTTAGTTCGATGAACCTTGACCTAAGATACCCCAAGTATAGCCATTTTAAAATAAAATGTTAGTTAAAAATACTCTCTTGAATGCTAAATTACCAATCATGAATAAGATAACGCAGACGAGCAAACAGAGGAAACATCACTGTACTAAAAAAAAAAAAAAAGAAGTAGGACCCCCCTCCCCCGGGCATGCAAGAAAATAAAAAAGGTATAGTCCTCTTTGTCCTCTAAAATTTCTTTTTCAAATTCTATAGAATACTCATCGCACATGCAGTCGTATTTTTTTTTTTTTTTTTGGCTGACGAAAAGATTCTGTTTAAAGTTTTAAGAGTTATCCCGCTTGAAAAGTTTTTACTGGATGTTGGATCGTAAAGCCATCTACCTGGCCGTATCACCAGTCATATTATGAATTATTTATTTGTAGTTTCTCAAAATAATAGGGTTCATATTTATATATAAAATTTGTGAACACTTAAAATATCTACTACTTCGATTTGCATACTATTATAGGCCACTCAATATTTCATTTATTAATTTAAAAAAAAGCCTTTGTGTATATGTAAATTACATTGTAGTTCTGTCACAAAATTGGAAAGTAAAGAAAGTATAACATTTTTTTATTAAAGCAGTGCTGTGTCCTTTCTGACATATTTCATTTTACCAAATAAAATCTGCAACATGACTATGTCACAAAGGACAGCAGAAAACGAAGCTATTTAGGTTGTTACACAATTTCTGAGGAATGAGACTTATTGGTTGAAGCTAACGAAACATTAGCAGCGAATCGAACTTTGACTGCCAGTACTTAAGAGGTGTACCTTTTCTCATGAAATGGACAGTGTCAAATTCAAATTTTACCATGAATATTTAAATTTCACTAAAAAAAAAATTCAAATGGAATAGTATAGTACATGTAGGTGTCACTGGATTTTATATGAAAAACAAATTAAAACAACAAAAGAAAGATTTTAAGTAATTTATAACAAATTCTAACAATTTAAAATATATTTCATTTTTTCAAATATCAAACTATATTTTTTTTATTTTTGTAATAATATGGCGAATCTATTTCCAAAAAAAAAAAAAATGTTTCATTTCAGTCTGAAGAACTTTAAAATATGGTTTCCAAGGTGTCTTCTTTTTGTAGGTATTGACTTCTGAAACAAAAAACATAAATAAATAAAATGTACGTCCCTAATGAATTATAAAATATTCCAAATATGGTGCTAAAACATAAACATCAATACATCAAGTTTTCACATCGTTCAACTAAATCAATAAAAATAATACCTTTTCTGTCGCAGTTTCTGTCACATAGTTGTCCTCCAATGAACATGAACACGCATTCAAAACGGGCACGGTTTCTTTAGGCATGGAATTCTAAAAAGAGACAGTATGAAGTCATTTTGATTTTCGAAGTAGTAAGGACGAAAAACATGAATCATTTTATTGTATCACAATCTAAAATCATTTTAAGATTTAAATGTGGTTCCAAATTGAGAGTATTCTTTCATAAACATACAAAAGTGAGATGAGGTTTAGATATAAAAGCAACAGAAGCAACCAAAAAAGACCCAAAAACAGGCGTTATGTGCAGTCATCCTTTGCAGCCCTTCACCGGCAAGTGGTGGCGTCTCAATATGAGTGAAAAATTCTTGAAGGAATGTTAAACAAACAAACAGAGAGAAAATTGAAAATTTTCAAAGTATACATGTAGAAGGAGGGAGTGGCGAAAGTAAAGGACATCTGCAAATTCTCACAGATACAGGTTGTATATACTGGGGTATGAATTTCCACCGTCCATTTCTGATGAAACGGTGGTAAATAATTACATGTAATGACTAAACCTCGATGCATGTGGGATCTAGGGACAGTTGAAGGGTACTCCAGCATGCTAGAAGTTCTTTTTCTTTTTAGAGATACTTTTGATTTGCCGCCGTGTCAGCTCTAGCATCCATTGTAAAAATTCTCGCCCGAAAACCCCTAAGTAGAAATAAAATGTTTAATCAAAAATTCAGGCTTTGAACATTAACAAATGACACGAAACAATAAAATATTCATTATTTGCGATAAAACTTACACTTAAAACAATGTTAATTCCTTCGTATAAGCGAAAAATTCAACATTTTCAAAATCGAAGCAGGAAACTAAACCATCCGGAACACCTCGGGCCTTTCACAGAAAAACACCTCGGAAACGAACGTACCCATGTGATCGAAAGTACAATGTAGCAGGTAAAGTAGCTCTTTAAAAAGCTGGAAAATGTACCCTAGAAGTACAACAAAAAGAAACCTATGGACTTGTTCTGTGAAATGCATAGCACTTATATTTTCTGATTTCTGCGCTGTTTATGATCAAGGGAGCTAAAAATACATAGGTGTTCAACAATTAGATTCACAAACTTCCATATTTCCCTCATGTTTCATGTGTCAAATACACCTTATTAGTAAGTGATAAATGCAAAATATTCATATATTTCTAAAATTCACCATTTTATCTTTCTATTGATATATAGATTGATATTGATATATAGATTTCTATGTATTAAGTTTTTATATTATTTCTTTATGGGGATTACTTTAGAATGTCCCTCATTTAGTAACGTCATACATAAAACTGTGTTTTGCACCCTAAATAATTGAAATAAATTACATGACTGTGATAATTAATTACCGCGAGCCGATCCCGATCTTTTTCCGGACATCGGATTCTGTATCACTCTGCTTTTTCCGTAAAGTCGAGAAACGAAAAAAAGGGGGGGAATTTTTACTTCTCAACTTCACGGAAAAGGCCAAATAATGTTCCGGCTGCTAACAGAACGTATAATACTACAATACC